GTGCACTAAACAGTGTTATAATCATCCCACAGAATACACACTGACTGAAGCAATCATTCGGAATATTCGGATATCACGAAACTTATCAGAAATAGACAGGTAATCAACATGTTATAACCTACAAACCATTATATAAATTTTTGTAACTTGTCTTAAATATTAGATCCAGCCTTAATTCAAACTCATAATCCACAACTAAAGACTAAGAAAACAACATTGAATTGCCATATATCTATCACTTTATAAAGATACAAAAAACCTAAAATGGAATATACCAATGGCATTGACATTTAGTTGGTATAATGGATGAATGGGACAGACATGGAAAGTGCTAGAGATATCAATGTATACACCTTTTACACAAAGGACTATGATAACCAGGTAAGAAAATATCAAAATCCCAAATAGCAAGTCTGTAGAGCAACATACACAATATAAGTTTTCAATATGCAAAACTACAAATGAGAAATAGTGACAAGAATAAGAGCATATCAATATTAATAAGAAAAAAATTCGCTGAGCAAGTGTAAAATACCATGGTTTTTTCATTTTGATTTTTCTTTATAGGATAGGGTGACAAACAAGCACACAGTCCACCATGGTAAGTGGTTGCTGCGGCCCATAGACATCTACATCTATCCTTGATTACAAATCAAAATGCAGATGCATTGTCACCTGTGAGGACTAAAATGGAATACCTTGTTTCCAGTGAAAAGGGTCTGGTGGGGTATGGTGAGTGTAGAGAACCATCTCTACACTCACCATACGAAACATCATATTTTCCCTTCCCCAGTCGAGCCGACACATTCGTGCTATAACTACACTACTAATATAACTGCAGTATAGCTCTACTACATATAACAGGATATCTTATGTAATAAAATAATAAACAATATCACTCTACTTTATATATATCCCTACAGGCACATATTCAGCAGAGCAGTGGTTATAGGCTCATGAGAATACTTGATATAATATATTGATCTGTGACCTTTTTCTTACTAAGCAAAGTACTTATAGAGATGTATAAGTTGGACTGGCTAAGACCAATCTTAATAAAGTTTCTTTATGAAAATTGTAAGAACTATTTAGAACAATAGTTAAGCTTTTGGACTATGGTACTATAGGTCTTGGGTTTCTGGGTAAGACTAGTATTTGAACAACTTACAGATAATAATTATACCTGTTCCTGCCGTTTCTATGTGCAGTTACATAAAATTCCTCTATGAAAATCTTTAATGCAAATCGGGAAAAATCCCTAGTAAAGGACAACTCTTTCATTTCTTTACACTTGTCTAAGATACATTACATAAATAAAATGTTCAATTAAAAGCTGTGGTCGTACTAAGAAATATTCATAAATTTAAAATATAATCATATATAATGATTTCTTATATTTACGCGAACATTGCACATGATTAAAACTACTTTTACGGATTTTATCGCGTTTATTTTTACTTTTTATTTTTAATTCCCGACGTTTCGGGCGCTTTCCAGCACCCATGGTCACGGGGGACTGAGATGACTGACGTCCCGATGTCATTGTTAAACCCGGAGTACCTTCAGCTTTTTTAATTATTGTTTATGGTCCGATCTATGTAAAATGAACTGACTATGGCCTGAGGTCTTGCAGTGGTATGCTTGGGTTTAGTTTTAATTTTATTGATTATAGGATCCCAAGCAGGTGGTAGTACCCAGCCTCCTTCTCTATTGAAATTAGGATGTTTTTTAATTTCAATAGCCTCACGTATCATCCTTGGTAGGAATCGGTGTTCTTTCGCGAGGATTTGTGGTCTATCAAATCTGATGTAATGGTTGGGGCCGTCTAGGATATGATCACAAACTGCAGACTTCCCGGAACGTTGATGCTTCACATCAGCTATATGTTCTTTTACGCGGGTCCTAATTGATCTTTTGGTTTGTCCTATATAAGAGAGACCACATTCACAATCAAGCTTGTACACTCCTGCATCTTGTAGAGGAATATGACACTTGACGGATGGTAGGAACTGACTAATCTTCTTCGGCGGCTTGTAGAATGTTCTAATAGAAGAAGAAGAAAAGAATATGGAATTAAGATGTTCTAAGGTTACTTAAACGCTAAAATTCAATTTACTATGGAGTTAGAGGCAAATAATTCCTTACCTTTCCTAGATGTGTTAGTCATCCGAAATCCTAATAACACCATTGGTCACACTGTGTATAGGAAAAAGACCCATACAAACCGATATTTAAACGGTGAATCTCACCACCATCCTTCACAGTTAGCTACCGTGGGCAAATCTTTGTTACAGAGAGCACGAGGGATCTGTGACAGCAAACACCTGGCCGCCGAGCTTCAGCACGTCAAGCAAGTTCTGCACGACAACAAGCTTCGGGTCCCGCGCCTACGTCACAGTGACCGAGTGAAGCCGGCCACAGTCGAGCGTGTGCCTGCTGTACTACCATATGTCAGAGGTGTCACAGACAAGATTGGCTTTATCTTGAAGCGAGCTTCTATTAGAACATTCTACAAGCCGCCGAAGAAGATTAGTCAGTTCCTACCATCCGTCAAGTGTCATATTCCTCTACAAGATGCAGGAGTGTACAAGCTTGATTGTGAATGTGGTCTCTCTTATATAGGACAAACCAAAAGATCAATTAGGACCCGCGTAAAAGAACATATAGCTGATGTGAAGCATCAACGTTCCGGGAAGTCTGCAGTTTGTGATCATATCCTAGACGGCCCCAACCATTACATCAGATTTGATAGACCACAAATCCTCGCGAAAGAACACCGATTCCTACCAAGGATGATACGTGAGGCTATTGAAATTAAAAAACATCCTAATTTCAATAGAGAAGGAGGCTGGGTACTACCACCTGCTTGGGATCCTATAATCAATAAAATTAAAACTAAACCCAAGCATACCACTGCAAGACCTCAGGCCATAGTCAGTTCATTTTACATAGATCGGACCATAAACAATAATTAAAAAAGCTGAAGGTACTCCGGGTTTAACAATGACATCGGGACGTCAGTCATCTCAGTCCCCCGTGACCATGGGTGCTGGAAAGCGCCCGAAACGTCGGGAATTAAAAATAAAAGCGATAAAATCCATAAAAGTAGTTTTAATCATATCATCATATATTTAAATTCACAAATAAACTCTGATCTGCCCGCCCAGTATGGTATGGGCACATATTTTTGAGGCATGCATGCCATCTTGTTTTTTTTTTTAGAGAACTATGGCAGTTGGAGGACTAAAAGAGTTTGTGATGCAATAATGATAACACAAAAACACAAATATTAATTTAGTGTGAATTAATATTATCATATAGAGATGAAAGGGATAGTGGTTTTAGTGAATACTGAATATACCCAGTACCGTCTTTACCATAAGGGCACACGTGGCCTGTGCCCAGGGCCCCCGTGCCGAAAATATTACCCGAAAAACAATTTATAGAGTAAATGAGGGTGTTGCTAGTGACTTTCTGGCAACAAAAAAAAAGAATACAGGTATTGATGTTGTTATAGAATATTTTCTTTTTTTGAAAGGAAATTTAGGTTCTGTCCTACATTTAAGTTTACTTTCCTAAGAAATTATCATCCCCCCTATGAAATCCCCCCTATGAAATCTGTCAAATAATTTACCTCATTGAAAAGTGTCGCCACCCTGGTGGCAGAAAAAGTTGTGGATGCCAACATTAATGACATATTATTTGATTTTTACCAATTAACTATAGTAAATATAATATCATAGCGGACATGTTTTTGTCATTCACATTTTTTTTTACTTTACAACAGGGCCCCAATTTCTTGTGTGCCCAAGGGCCCCAGTATGACATAAGACAGCGTTGAATATACCATATCCACTAAAACCACTATACTGGCAAGGCTCTAGACCAGAGTTTCAAATATTAAGTTTAAGCTGTAAATCATAATAAGTGATATATTATATAAAATCGAAATCTCCATCCATTCAATTTACGTTCATTTATATTTGTCATCATTTACCAATCTTATAGAATTTTGTTTTTACAAAGAAAGAGATAAATAAGTTGACAATGGCCACATGTTAATAAATTACAAAATCAACAAAATGTGGCCTCAGTATTATTATCAATTTCTTAATAAAAAGTTCCCACGTCAGTCAACAAAGATAATTTCAAGGACAGCTAGCTGGATATATTTTATGTAAAGCCAGAAAGATGAAGTCTTAAGCTGTACACAGATAAAATGGTACTACATCATCTGCCATTTCATAGATGTGCATATACATAGACAAGTCAATTGACCTATAAAAAACGGTAGAGGTTGATCACCTGACACATAGATAACAAAACCTCATCCAGAAATTCAGACAAGCCTATGCCAATGATTTAAACCATCCAAATACAAGATATCCCTAAGAATAATAAACAAATAGTGCTTACTGAATAATTAAATATTAAATCTTAAATTAATTGTTGTGATTTTCCAAGACAATTTATAAAAAATGTTAAGTATTTTAAGCACTATTTTAAGCATGTTGATTAAGTATGCAGTTCTGACTGGATAGTAACATGTATTTGGTTGGATACTGAATGATAAAAAAATGGCTGGATAGGTCAAATACTGAATAAAACCAGATATCCATTGCATCTTTAATCATATTTATAGACGGTATTATATAACATGACTAATTTAACTAAGGTGTTTGAGTGAGTGTACATAAGATAATTTAACATTTACATATTTACTAAATTTAGTTCCATCACAAAAATATAAGGTCAATTATTATGTGCTTAATCCCCTTTAAAATTTTATGATTAAGTAACTGCTTAAATATAAAGCAAACATTATATTGTAAACATGTTTGAATATACATACTTAAATATGTACATCAATTTAAGTAACATCATAGTGGAAATAATTAGCACAATTTATAGAAAAAATTCTACAAGTGGGTAGGTATAAACAAATGCAATGTTTACAAACAAAAAGAAGTTTTGAGAATTATAAAGAGATAAGCACTCACCTTTTTGGCAGTAACATAGCCGCCGATCCCTTCCTTTGGAACACACCGTCCACCAGCACGCCATTCTTGCTGTTACACGTGAGATAAAATTCCGGATGATCATAAAACAGTTCAAGGTGTCGGCGAGAAATGAAACTCGAATGGCCCATGTTTACGTCAACCTGACCACGGCTGGAGTTCCGACCTATAATCACGCGTTTTTGACGAATCAGGTACTCGAAATCCCGCCCATCTAATCTAGCGATCGCAATGGGCGCCGGCTCCTGGGCCCACTGGACTTTGGACGGCGAGGCAGGTGCCGACTTGAGCGCGAGCAGCGCCCATGCGTCGCTCTCTGAGCTCCGCGTGAACTGAGTTTGAGCCATGTCCGGCGCGTGTTTCACCAACGCTGTCCCGCGGGGCGCACACCCTTACGATAGCACATCACAGCTCCAACAAACCACCCGGATATCCGGAAACTGTCGAATACGTCCCCGTTCTACACTTTGAGGTTACTGATGGGACGCACATGCGCAAAGTTTCTACTAGTGCAGTAAACAAGAATTATATAAATCACACAACCACGTGATAAATCTGTATACATATATCTAGGCCGGAAGCACGGATCGATACTATTCAGTGTCAAGACGCGATCCCCAATCGAATTATTAGCCTTTGGGGTGTTGCACAACAAAATTTTCGCAATTGGACCGAAATAAGACACTAAAGTAAACACGAGGTGAGAACAAAAATAACCAAAAACGTCAATTCGGCATACGCAGTTTACAAGTCCGGTGCGCCATCTGTACGGCAACAACAAGCAACAAATTAATTTTGTTTCAATCAACGCATCTTATTGAAACATCAGTATTTCATATTTTTTCTTTGGAAAAAGAAACAATTTTTTATTTTACCGTCTTTTTGTAACGAGCGCTGTGGTTATCTACTAAAAGTTTTAAATATATCGTGAATAACTAAGGATTTTTTTAATCAAAAACCATGTGGTATATTAATGTTAGCGTTCTTTCCATTATTGCGTGTAACGGTTCAGGCTTGAAAATTGTAAACAATTTTCTTATCATATCATGGTGGTAGGTCGCTTTTTATCAATGACTCATTATTTATATAATTTCTGTTTACAGGTAATTAAAATAAAGGAAAAATTTCAACCTATATCCGCCTCCCATTTTTGAGGTTTCTAAGGCATGGAATGTCCGCCGTTCTGCGCATTGCGCGCAAAGAGTAGGTATAGTAAAATTGCGCGTTTGCGGACTTCCTTGTCTTTGACATATTTTTTTTATTATTCAGACATTCATTTTTCCTTACGATCTTTTCCTTCACCGCCGAGCATGTAGTAAACGGGCACTATAAATCGTAATTACCAATTTCATTGATGCCCCCGGGGATCACAACCGCGTTGCTCGCGTGCATTTAAATTTACTAACATAAATTTCACAGACTAAATAGAGAAAGTAAATTTAAAAGCACGCTTTGCTGCTCAGGAGAGCGGCTCTCACACAGACGAATGCAATTACCTGAAAAGGCGATTTTTTTAAATTAAAATTAATAAAAAAAATTTACTAGAAACAAAAAAGTTTAAATTAGATGTGTTTAAAGTTTTTACGCTATATTTTATATCATCATCGTCATCAATACAGTCTAAACCCTAAAACATTTTGGTCCTAAACCCATTGATTTATGTTACACTAGATTAGTAATTACCGCGCCAAAGCGTTGCCACTGCACATATGGCCACAGTCATATGCCTAGCTAGCGTCAGTTCACTGTTCAATGTAACGTCAACAGAGTTGAGCTGAACGATCCGCGACAAAAAATGGGTAAATGCGTGGTGAAAGAATGCGATTCAAGGTCACAAAAACATAATAAATCACTTTTCACACATACATTTTAGTTCATGTTTTCATATAAACGTAAAAACCTTAAATAACTAATTAAAATTATCGAATATTGCGATTTAGGTTCAAGTTGCCACTTTTCCGCCCTTGTGATTATCGCACATTAATGGGAGACTATAATTATAATTAATGGAATTAGTTAATTTGTTACCTCTGATTTTAAATATTTTGGAAATTACAGTAAAAACTACGTTTTAACTTTCATACAAAATAATTAATTATTCTTATTTTAGTTTATTCATGAATGATCTATTAAATATATTTTATTACCTATTTTATATTAATAGTTTTATATTAATTATAATTTTATATTAATTTTACATTTAACATATTTTATTGCCTATTTTATATTGTTTGATTTATTAGTACAATAAAATACCTTAAAAATATGTTTTATTTCATCAGTTATGCTTACTTCTATTCATCTGATAAGAAAATACACTTTTTTTAAATGCAAACAATTAACTGCAGCTAAAAAAAATCTCCTTTTAATTGCGTATTTTGGGTAAAATTTCATATAGTAAGCCACACCAACCCGCCATTGCATGTTTGTATGTCTATCTTTATCTAATCTTAGCTACGGTATTGTTTTCGCAACTTGTGTAAGTGAAACGGATATATGTTTATTTAAAATGTTTAGTAATTTCAAAGCTACGTCGCCGCGGTTTGATAGTGGTTACACTTTTTTCGACGCGCGGTAATGTGGTTTGCTCCTCTAGTTTTGTATAACTCAATGCCTAAACCCAAAACATAAAAATCGACGTCAATTTGAGCAGTACTCTCTCTCTTCTCATTTCAATAAATGGGAATAGAAAGAGATGGGTAAAGAGCTAATAAATGCTTATTTTAAGTAAGCAATTGTAGAGCAACACGAGTCAACGGTGGATCGGAAGGGAGTAGCCGTAGTACTTTGACAGAGAGGATCGCCTTAGGGATATTCCGATACTAGTAAATACGAGTAGGTACTCGATACTTTTGATTCGATACCAAGTATTTATAGCATCGAATCAATCTTACGATACATACTCGGTATCGAAACAAAAGTACTTGGTATCAAATCGAATCAAAATAAACAATTAAATTTTTTTTTCGAACGCATCAGTCAGATAGAGAGAGCAAAGCCCTCTCGCTCAGTTACAGGTACATAGTCATCGGGTGCGTTTGGCAGAAAAAAGCGCTAGCAAGCGCTTGTAAGCAAAATGGCGATCGTAAGTGGTAAGCGCTATCAAATCGTAAGTAGCTATTTTCCTCTAGGACACGATGTTAGTTTTAACTGGGGAACCTAACCTAATTTAAATATATGTTTGTGATGTATTCATATTAAAAACTTACCAATCATGAATTTTTAATAACATGTATATGTTTATTCATGTCATTTTATTACTTAAAACTAATATTGCAAAAAAACAACTTGTAAACTCTACTTCAAAACAAACAAATTAAATAAGCAAAATGACGGATTGTGTCAGCGCTACTGAAGTAGCAATCGTGTCCTGGCCGAAAACTATTTTAGCGCTAGTAAGTACTTGCTGGCGCTTTTTTCTGCCAAACGCACCCATCGCATGGCAGCGTGAGTGACGCGAGCCGAACTTGTCCGACTTCAGCCGAGCCGAGCCGAAAGCGAGAAAGCCACCTTCCCGCCCGCCATTTAAGTTGTCATGTTATTGTCAACAAATAAAACTATACGTACTTTGTTTAAACTGAGTGATTGTTTACGACTAATTTTAATTATTGTAATCATCGGCTTATTATTCCAATGTTATCATGGCACCACCAAAATCAATAATATGGATACATTTTACTAAAACAAACGAAACGGTTGCAAAATGTAAACAGTATAAATTTTTGTTTTAATTATTGTCCTTCAAAGTTCATTGTTTTTACGTTAGTAAAGATAAATTTGCTAAAAGTATCGATATCAGTAAGTATCGATACTTTAGGAGTATTTATATAAGTAGTATCGAAAAAAGATTTGAGTACTATCGAAATGAGTAGGTATCGATACTTTGATGGTATCGAAACATCCCTAGATCGCCTGTATAGCGTATATCGCCGATCGCGAGGCGATCCGCCAGTGGCCCGAGCTGTGCTATAATGTTACTACATAATTATTTTTCTGATGTTAATGAGCTTTTTCTTTCTTTCTTCAATCTTGTTTATTTAAAGAACGTGATATGGTTATTACTTGATAGGTACTTTCGTTATTTTCATAATGTTAATACAGTTACTTTTATTATTATTAGGACATTACGAGTAGTCAAAAGTAATAACTTACTTTTACTTTCAGCTATGAATAAATGAAAATTATACGTAGGTATTATACTTTTCATGTGTACATAAAATATGGAGTACATATTATTATTATATCACTATTAAACCGTTTTCATCTTTTTATGATATAATATCAAGATAGGAAAATCTGTTTAATAATAATAACAGACATTTATTTCAGACTATTTTCATCCATTTCAGATATCACAAAATGTTAAATACAAAATTAAAATATAATCATAAGTTAATACAAAATTTTTCCCAAAAAGGGGGTTCGTACTATCTCTTTACAGTTATTATCGCTATGCACGGCACGCCAATTTTTTAGTATGGCATTCCCTGGGCACTCGTAGCATATCCTGAGGATCTCGTTCTCAGAATCACGGATGCGAGGCCAAAAAGCTGTAACCAAAGCGGGGCCAAAGATTTAATTACCGCGAAGTAATCGGGTACCCTGGCGTCAGCAAACATGCTCGACGCACTGCAATATTTAATGCGGTATGCATTATTGGAGCGGAGCGAGCGAAATTCTCATGGCGCAAGAAAATGATTCTTTGAAATCTATCTCCTCCGTGACCCCTAGGTAAATTTACATAATTTTTTCCGGCAATATTTGTAGCTCAACGCAGACAAGGTTTGCAAACAATCAAAATCTGAATTCGATTTTTTTTCTTTTACTATCTAATCAATTCGCTAATTTACATCTGCGCAATGTCACACCATTTGATTGAATCTTTTGTTGAAATAGAGATCGTTATGTCTTTAGACTTTTGCTCCGATCCGTTTATGATGCCAGCAAAAGGTTTTACCCTTGCATCTGCATCGGCCATAGTTATACTGCACTCTAACGCTGCTACGTGCTTTTTTGTTGCTATCTAATCAAAGCGGACAAAAAAAGAAGCATTGACAATATGCTCTAAACAGGGTCAGCTTTGTCTCAGGACTGCACTGCGTAAACCAGCGTGCGAGCATATTACACCAAACAGCCAGAGCCCCCAGTTTGCGTAATATATTAAGGTTATCGCGCAAATCCTCAGTCAGAATATGCCTGAGGTACCTGAATAGATCCACTCTTTCAATAGGAAATACCAACAGAAACTTCTTCAGGAAAATTGCAACAATTGCATCAAGTTCCTCAATCCAGTTGTTTACGTATGGCTGTTTTGGAGTGTTTTTTTATAATGGAAATTAACGCGACATGTAAATCTGTATTCTTAACCGAGATCCTCTTATTACGTATTTCTGTGCTGCTGCATTTTGAGACTTTAGTTATTAATTCTTTTAATTTTGCGTATATATTTGAGCCATCTTAGCTTTTTGAGAAATCGTAGCAACTTTTTAATATTTCAAACGATCTCTTGTAACCACCTCGGCTCAGCACGTCAAAGTACTTAGCCCTGCAGCATGTGACCGCAGTAGATTTGAGCCGCCGTTTCTTAGTACTGTTTATGACACCTATAGTAATCAGATTAGTAGTCTCTCTACGATGGATTAGATTTCGAGCTTTGACGGCAATTTGATCGCTGTTCCTCTTTGTTAGATTGCTGCTTCTATATCACCGCGTAACTAATGATTTTATGTATTAGTTGTTTGCGAATATGGATTATTAGTGGAAACTATGAAACAAGAACTCAGATGATGACATAAACCATGGACCTAGAAAAAAGGGCGGACGCCGTCTCTTAAAACAATTACTGACGCACCCAGAGTAAGTCAGCTCGCTAATACAAACAAGCCGGCACGCACACATGCACTCCATACTAAGTCTACCGCCCGCCACTACGCTCCAAACCACGCTCACACATAGTTACGCGGCCGCCATTGTGTTGCTTCAATTGTTTCTTAGCGAGACTCTGTCCGCCCTTTTTTCTAGGTCCATGACAAAAACCTTAAGTTTTTCTGTTTTTACGACTTGAGATACTCATCATCATCATCATTACAGCCCTTCACAAGTCCACTGCTGAACATAGGCCTCCCCCAAGTAATGCCACAAAGCACGGTCCTGAGCCACCTGCATCCATCGACTTCCTGCATGTCTTACCAGGTCGTAACTCCATTTAGTGGGGGGTCGCCCTACACTACGCCTACCGGTATGAGGCTGCCACTCGAGAACCTTTCTTCTCCATCGGTTATCGGTTCTTCGAGCTATGTGGCCGGCCCATTGCCACTTCAACTTACTAATCCGTTAGGCTATGTCGGTCACTCTGGTTTTACTGCGGATATCCTCATTTCTGAGTCTATCACGCAGAGAAACTCCGAGCATAGCCCTTGAGCGTCATCATACGGCCAGCAGTGAAGGACCACGTCTCTGATCCGTAAGTCATCACTGGCAACACGCACTGGTTGTACACTTTAGTTTTCAGAGATTGAGGTACACCTGACGAGAAGATGTGTCGTAATTTCCCGAACGCTGCCCAGCCGAGTTGAATCCGTCGATTGACCTCTCGGTCGAAGTTGGACTTACCTAGTCGGACTATTTGTCCCAGGTAAACGTACTCGTCAACAACTTCGAGCATAGTGCTCCCAACAACTACCGGCATAGGTGAGACATGGACATTAAACATGATCTTTGTTTTGTCCATGTTCATCTTAAGACCTATTCGTTGGGAGACACCATTGAGGTCATTGAGCATAGTGCTAAGGTCCTCCAGCGATTCTGCCATAAGGACTATATCGTCGGCAAATCGAAGGTGAGTGATGTACTCGCCATTGATGTTAATACCGTATCCTTTCCAGTCCAGTAGCTTGAAAACGTCTTCCAATGCAGCGATGAAGAGTTTCGGGGATATAACATCACCCTGTCTTATACCTCCCTGCAGTTAGATAGGTTTCGAGCTCTGATTCTGTACTCGGATAGCCATCGTAGCCCTACTGTCTTGTACTTGAGATACTGTCGTCACCGAATATCTGCTGGATTAGCTGCCATCAAAATCTCCCAAAAACTGCACAACATGATGCATTATCATATTAAAGCGAAAATTAAGATGGTTTTAAATTAGATGTACCTATGAATTACAGCATTATTGGATGTCCTTTTTGGCTGAAAGCCTTGTAGCCAATAACACAATAAACAAATTTTAATTTGACTTCCTGACTATTTTTTAAAAAGTACTGAAAAGTTTTCCTCTGTGAATTTGACTTTGACATATGACCTTGTTTTTATTATTGTTTATAATTTAATTTTGAACTTTCGAAACTGTGGTCTGATGGTAAACGACGTACTTGTGAGTGCTTACTGGAATTAGTTGGTGGATTTCTTTCTGTTGTAAGTAGACTTACATTTTATAGTATATGGGTGACGAAACGGGGTCTCCCCGTGAGAAACCTACCGACCCTTGATTTAACAGCTTCAATAAATATCATATATAAACATCATGCCTAGAGCAATATTTCGGAATGTATGGGCCAAATGATCAAGTCTCATTTATTGTCCACATCTCCCGTACCACTTTAGATTCTGGAATAGGGCTATCACTTCGACCAATTATAATAGGTACGTTTGTCAAAAAATAATATGCAAGACATTAAAAGGAGGGGGGGGGAAGGGTTGTTAAAAGTACCGCCAGATATCGCATCTCTATTGAATTCCGCTCAGCAGATGAGGCTAACAAATCCTTAATAACCCTATGATTGCAAAAGAAAAATTGATTGATTCATTCCCTTTTATAATGTTTCTCGAATGCGTGTCATTCGCGATGGCCCTTTTCACTGGACAATGGAATAACTATCAGAAGCTATTGGGCTTCACCCTGGTTGTAATAAAATCCTAAAAGCTCGCCGTCATCAAAGAAAAAGTTTTGCTGAAAGATTATCATTCCCAATATAGGTCCCTATTTAGGGTATGTTCCAAAATAGAACCCAGTGTACTGTACAATGCAAATGATGTCATAAATCGACACCATACTGGGGATTCGTTTCAAAACATTTGACAGTATATGACATCATACATTTGTGTCAGATTGGAAAAGTGTTGGTGATTATTTTGTCATTTTGTGCTCCAAAAGTCAGTATATTCTCCTAATGGAGATAACAGCAATTATTCTATAATTTTTTGTATTTGAATAAATAAAAACAAATTCTGGCGTGCTTCATTCAGCATACACACAATTAAAAATTGTTTTAATATGGCTGAATATCCAATACAATATGGCGGCGGCACGCCAGTACAATATGGCGTCAATTAATGATGTCATTTGTATTCGGCAGTATACTGGAAATATTTCGGAACATACTCCTTACCTACTGTTCTGACATTAGAAGGTCAGATACTCCCCAAATATGTATATGAATTTTTCATATCCCTTGCTGTTGAAATTTATCAACTTCCTACAAACTAGTGCAAACAGTGCTGTCTGAACTATTAATATAACTACTATTTGAACTATCCTCAAAAGTCTTACTCTGAAGTGGCCTCTTCTCAGCTTTCACCTACTTCAACTACCTTCTTTAACTTCCCCACCATGTCACAGGGATATTAAAAAAAACATTTTTAAATATCCCCGTTCCATCCATAAAATTTCCATGGGGTATGGCCAACAGGCCCACCAACAGTGGCGAAGCCTCTATACAAGCCCAGAAGCCCGGCTTGCTTCATTAAGATGAATCAGTCAATTATATCAAGGAATAAAATAACTCGTAAACTGTTTCAAACTGTTTCAAATTTCCCGTGCACTCTGTTCGATCTCGTAGCCTTACGAATACTGCTGTCATACATATGAGGAGAGTTTGAGCAATTTGTTTCTCCCTCACAAGTGTGGGCTTTTTACCGGGCTTTCGAGAAGGTGATCGCTCCCTTTCTAACCTGTGGCAAAATGTTCTCTACTAAAATATAACTACGAAATGTTTATATAGCAATTACTATTGAGCCACAAGCCTGGCTTTGCTCTGAAGTTGTTTAGGAGTGCGTTAGCGACTAGCGAATGGGGTGCTGGCCATTTGTATGCAAGTTCACTTCACATTTCAATGTTTATGTTTGTTTTTATTGTGTTTGTTAAAAATCTATGCTTTTTAAAAGATTTTCAGTGAAAATGGGAGGATAATAGTGTTCATTCTGATGAATATAAGTGTGTTGAAGTGCTAATCGGCGAGGAAAAGGTAAAATCTTTAAAAATGAAATTTAATATTCAATAAACATTTCTTCATACTTTAAATATAGTTACAGGACTCTTTATATCTTTGTATTAAAGTTTAATTAAGTTAGGCGTATTTAAAGGTTTAATAACTCAATATTTATATTGCCATATGAATTAAAAATATCATTTTGAACGGCAGCATAAAATATGAGACACCTAGGTTTAATTTTATAGGAAATAAGTGTTACAATCTTTTTTTAATGTTAAGCCCAAATTTTAATGTAATAAATCAAAAGAATACAGAAGAATGTATTGAGGTTTTTAAAGAATACTCCCTTTAGTTATTTCCAGTATATAAAATTTTAATAGCGCCATCTACTTAATTCTATAGGTAAAGTCATTTTATCGAACGAAAATTGGTTCTGACGATGGTACCTAAAGATTACGCTAGATGGCACAAATACGCTATCGGCTAATTTAATATTTATATTACCATATGAGTTTAAAAATATCATTTTGTATGGTTTATTATGAATTGAATATCATTTTTTATGGTTTATTATAAATTAAAAATGAATAATTATATAATAAATAGTCATTATTTTATGGTAAAAAATTAGCAATACTTTATCTTCTCATTATAACTATCTAATTCCTGTCGTAATCTGTTCTTTTATGCATATAACTTAAATAAAATAATTTCGAGGTTTCACATCTGCCAGGCGTCCATTTTTTAACTTTGTACGTAGTTTGTTTGTACTTTGTTCATGCTTTTCTTTTGTTCAAGTATTGTATTGTTTGTAAATATCTCAAGCAAACCCAAACGGCTATTTTCAAAACCACCGAAGGTGTGCAATTGCATATGTTATACAATCTATCTAGCAGTAGTATGCTTTCTGTGTGCTTTGTTAAACACGTCCTTGACAGCACTGAATATGAAACTAAAGAGTGGAGACAGCTCAAGATTGGTGTATTTTTATTAAACTGCTAAAAACAACAAAACCATATCTTGGGCTTGCCCTAGTTTGGAGCCCTAGCTTCGCCACTGCCCACCAAATAATGGTTGCAGAATGTTCATCCATTCTTTATAGTGTATAATAAACAATAACCCATTGGGTCTTTCAAAATGGGTGTGCATTATCCAATATCTACAAAAAAAGAGGCACCATCTTGTTGAATACCTATCTATCATTTCTCAATAACTTAATTTTAAAAATGTCATAGTCAATACCCAACAACATTGCAGAAAAATAATTTATTTAGCTAGTTGGATAGATAATAGCTGGTAGAAAATACCATATAGCATAAAGCTCGCCTTTTGTACAAAATCTTTGGTGCAATAAAGAATAAAATGATAATAATGCCTGTAATGGAAGGCATCCATCTTCTTCAGGAGAACTGTAGAAGCTTGCGCCCTATATATCATGTCATATAATATCACATCTTATCTTCCTACTAAATAAACATTTCTGTTGCTTTATATTAGAAACATGTATTTTTTTTTTAAATTTAACACAGGCTTCACATGCCTATGTGAAGATAGATATGATTAGTTTTTTTGTAAATTACTCTTCTTCCTCATAGCCAAAAAATTAATGCCATAATTGCAAAAATAGCAGGAATCACCATTATTTCAATATATCCCACATCCAAATACAGTAGAATCTCTATAACTAATGTCATGGAAAATACAAAGAGAGTTAATGAGTTTTCAACTTAACAAGAACTTCAAGTTACATATGATTTAACTGCTGAAATTTCGACTTACAGAGATGCGATTTCTAAGTATATTTTTCGATTTGTAGAGTCAAATTTGAATAACAATTCAACTTCAGTTTTATAGTTTATATTTTTTACATATTAAAACAAATTGCATATTAAAACAAATTACATACCATATACATTACCATTGCTGGCACGAAAAAAACTGTGTCCCAGTGATTTTGAAAATTCTTCTGCCTTTTTGCATAAGATAGGCCCAGATACACTTATGTTTTTGTTCGCCAATGACGTATTGAGTGGAAAATGAAAGATTATGAGTTTAATTAAAATAAGATTCTGTGTGTCTAATACAAGGATTTAGTTTTCCTTCTAGAATTTTGACAAATCTATCTGTTGAATTACCTAGAATAAATTAATATGACAAACACAGGTGTTAGAATCTTATCAGTGTGTTACCCTTAAATGCATTATGATGGAAATTTCCATCAACCAATTTAATATAATTTTTTCATATCACAGAGTACGGCTATCTTATTTTTTGTACATCGTAACTTTTACGCAACAGTAGTGATGTTTTCGAATGAAAAAAAGAAGTTTATACTTCAATTTCAGCTGTCAAATGTTATTTCAAAATCTCAATACTCGATATTTTGCTTGGTGAAGATTTCGTTTATTGTGATTGTAAAAAAGTTGTATAAAATACTGACAGTTTCTTTTCAAGTTATTCATAATTGATGGATTTGAGGTTAGTATTTTGATTTATGTTTTATTTCTGTTATAAATAGAAAAATATGTAGAAACAAACCCAAAATTGTGTTGATCTAAATTTACATCATCATGTAATGACATTCATTTAGCTTGTATGAAAGTTAGTGAAGTGCTATGGTTGATATAGTTTTGTTTCGTTTTGATTTCAGGTGTTGATATCTTACAATTTTACGACAGAGATATAGAACATTATTTAACATCTTTGGAAGGTGGGTTGTTGTCGGAAGATGACATGGAGAAGTCTGATGAAGAGGAGGAAAATGTGCCTGAAAGTTACGACGGAGATGATTTACTGAATATGTTGAAAGCAATGAGGAGGACACAGAAAACTCACAAAACTACGAAAGTGACCTTCCCTTGATTGAAAATGAGGCAATAGACAACCAGGATGTAGACAATAGTGTACCCTAGAGTACATATATTTTCAGGATTGTTAGATAAACTAAAACAGATCTGGAAAAAAGAAACTTAGAATATATCTAATACAGTACTTGCCCAACAAGCCTCATATGTGGGGGCTTATACTGTATGTTTGGTGTAGTCTGCAAGGATTTGCATACAACTTAGATTTATATGCTGGGCAGGACCTTACCAACAAACCTGAAAATGAACCACATTTAGGCTCAACCAGCAATAATGTCCTTTGTTTAGCCTGAGATATACCAAGGCAAGTCAGTCACATTGTCTATTTTGATAGTTTTTATACATCTCTGCCATTGGTGTACTATTTAGTAACTTTTTTTATAGGAATCCTTCAGTAGGAACAGTTCAACAAAATAGAAAGCCTAATTCAAAATTGCCTGATTAAAAAATTATGAATAAATCTATCCCAAGAGGTGCACATGAAGAAAGAGTAACAACATTTCAAAGTGTGGATATGAGTGAAGTAGCATGGAAAGACAACAAAGTTACATTACTGTCATCATATGTTGGTGGTTGGTATTTGCCTTTGAATAATGTATCCAGTTATGGCAAGAAAAAAAAAGAAAAAAAAAGATTCCATGCCCTAAGATTATAAGTGAATACAATGCCCATGTAGGAGGTGTATATCTAATGGATAGTTTACTGGGTAGGTACAGAATAAGGCTCAAGTCAAGAATATGGTATATTCATATTTTGGACCTGGCAGTGCTAAATGCCTTAATAATACATTAAAAAAATTAATTGTTAAAGAAGTACCTAAGAAAGATATCCGCAATTTAGGTACATTTAGAAATGAACTGTTCTTCGTCCTCTGCAACATGGGCGTAGCTAGAGAAAATAAAAGAGTTCTAGTCTTCTAGAAAAAGATACACAGGCCATAAGAAAAGAAGTGCTGTATCAGTGGCGCCTACAAAAGAAGTTCGAAGAGATGAGCTAAATCATTGGCCTGTGGTAGGAGGATCTTTGTGATGCAAATACCCTAATTGTAAGGGATATTCAACTATACATTGTCCCAAATGTAATGTAAGCCTGTGCTCCAACAAAAACTTTATTTCAATAAATACCATAATGAGTTAATTTATTGTCTCAATAAACATTTTTTCTCAATAAATTAGTTCTGATGACATAATGATGTAAATTCCACCAACCCATTATTTAAAAAAAAAATTAAATAATTTTATGAATATTTTTTTTAAATATATTTTTACCTTACTATAGAGCTAACTTTACATCCAAATAAATTTTATTTGCTTAAAAAGGAAAAATCATGCATTTAAGGGTTAAAAGTGACAAGGATTTAAAGTTTCTTGTTATTGATATTAATAAAATCACATAAAATATACACAAAAGGAGTACTTGTATATCTTAAAAGAGAATTGAAATCTAAAGGTCGAGGAATATAAGGAGGAAGGTTTGGAACAGTTGAAAAATATATGGTTTGTGGAACCTTCATCTAAGCCACATTCACACAAATAGCTATCCCTTACTCTGATTTTTACCAGATGTACTATATACTCGTATGTGTACAAGCATGTCCAATTCTACAGATTATGGAAGTTGCATGTTTATTTGCTTTGTTAAATTTAAAAAACCAAGGCTTGAGAGGAATAACATCTTGGATGGCAGCATAGTGCTTACCCATAACATTTTTGGATACTTCCCACAATTTATTCCAATTTTCATTCAGTTTCCTTTTAGCTAGCAAAATTAGGTCATGTGAGTAAATTAAATTTTGTAGAATGCCATTAGCAATTGCATTTTTAGCGAGTACATCAGCTGTTTCGTTACCATAGATACCACTGTGTCCAGGGATCCAGGCTATTGAAACATGGATTCCTTTAAGATGGCACCTGAATATGGTATTTTTATTTTGAGAATTAGTGGAAATTTATGTGTGTTATGGAATTGATTGGACAAAATAGCTAACAAGCAACTTTTTGAATCTGTGGAAACAAGTGTTTTATTATGATTATGTGACTCGACATATAATAAAGCTTCACTGATTGTAGTTGCTTCAACGGTAAAAGTGGAGGATAGTGAGGGGCATTTAAAGTTAAGAATGATTTTGAACTTAGGAATCCAAACAACAGCTCCAGTATAGTTTCCATCAGACTGTTTGAACGCGTCTGTGTACATGACAACCCTATCTTTAAAGATTTTTTCCATAGAATACTATAATACATATTACATATATAATAGAACGGGGGAGTGGAGCGGAGCTCGTGTAGCCACTAACATGTCACTAACACGTCAATTCACACGTAAAATGTCAACTCAATTGTTTCCAATTTTCGTGTCAAGCGTCGCTGCATGCAAATTATTTAAAAAATGGCTAATTGTGCAATAATTACGTGTCGAATGAACAGCCGGAAATGGAATTTAAATAAAAGAGACATATTCTACAACCAGCAAGTTGAAAATGCAATGAGAAACAAAAATATAGAAACATTTATGTGTCAAAAACATTAATCAAAAGTCTAAAATGTGTTTGTAGTAGTGATAACTGATAATACGACGTAATTGCTTGTATGTGTGCTCCTGGCGACGCCAATTCTCTTCTTACAAAGTAAGGTTGACAGCCATTCTATTGTGTATTATAGTATTCTATGGTTTTTTCTATAATTTATTTTAATTTCAAATTTGTCATTGGAGAATCCTTTTCTATACCTAGATCTAGATGAATCTCAGGTTGGTAAACAATAGCCTCGTAAGGAACATGAAAGAGTGGATTTATTTCACATTGAAAGATTGGGTAAGGAAGCTGAAGAAAAATTACAAAACTTTTAAACAAGCAATTGTAGGCGTCAAATCGACCACCGATCTAACATAAAATAAACGTACAGACGGACTTCTATCAATGATTCGAAGTCCGCCTGTACTGGAAATAATTTTTTATACTGTTTGTTTCAGGCTCGCCTATACAAAAGTACGAGGGTGGATTGAAAAGTACTCGGCCTAACACAGATCCATTCAATTCTAAAAATCAAATCTACCCACATTATTTAGTTCAGTTCAGACTAGTTCATTGTGTGAAGTTCGAAACGTGTGCGATAATTAGTTGTGATTTTATAAATTTATTAACAAAGTAATCGGACATAATTTCCGCGAATGGAGCAAATCGAGCAGCGTGCCGTCATTAAGTACCTCCATAAGAAGGGGCTATCATCAAAAGCCATCCATGATGACATGGTCAGTACATTAGGCGATTGTGCTCTGTCATATTCATCCGTCAAAAAATGGATAGCAGAATTTAAGCGTGGTAGAGAAAGTGTGAAAGATGAACCCCGCTCTGGAAGGCCTTCGACGTCAACTACTGACGAAAATATTAAAAAAAGTACTTGATTTAATAATGGGAGACCGCAGATTAAAAATTAGAGAGATAGTCGAGATTATAGGCATCTCTTATGAACGAACTCAAGACATCATTGTAAACGAGTTGGGTTTCCATAAGGTGTCTGCGAGGTGGGTTCCGCGACTGCTTTCAGTTGAACAAAAAAAGGACGCGATTGACTATTTCACGCGACTGTTTGGAGTTATTTGAAGCCGATGCAGATGATTTTTTGAATCGTTTTGTTACTATGGACGAAACATGGGTTCATTACTGTACACCGGAAACAAAACAACAATCAAAACAGTGGAGAAGACCTGGTTCACCACCCCCTAAAAAAGGCTAAGTCTATTTTGTCGGCAAATAAGGTGATGGCTTCAGTATTCTGGGACTCGAAAGGTGTGATTATGATTGATTATCTTGAAAGGGGTCAGACTATAAACTCTGATTACTACTGCACCTTACTACGTCGTTTACGAGAGGAAATAAAAGAAAAACGTCGAGGAATGCTCACAAGAAAAGTCCTGTTTCATCAAGATAACGCCCGTGTTCACACGTCAGTACAGTCAATGGCTGAAATTCACAACTGTGGCTTTGAACTGTTACCGCATCCGCCGTATTCACCTGATCTGGCACCATCAGACTTCTTTCTGTTCCCTAACCTAAAAAAGCACTTGGGAGGTCAAAGATTTTCGACAAACGACGAGGTCAAAGCAGCTGTAGACGCATATTTTGACTCTAAGGAAGAATCATTTTTTTTTCAAAGGTCTAAATGCTTGGAAGGGGAGGTGGCTAAATTGTATTGAACTTGATGGTGATTATGTAGAAAAATAAAAATATAACTGATTTAGTATGTGTTTATTTTCTTGGTTAGGCCGAGTACTTTTCAATCCACCCTCGTATTATTGAAATACGCAGCTTTATCAAGCCTACAATTGACTGGTTATTCAATCAACGTTTTCCAAGTGGCAATTTTCTATCGTCAATGGGTAGCGGTTCTGGCGACAGATTGATGCTAGGGTGTCATGTAGCACCTGGTTTTGTACCCTTGTGTACCCTTCAACGGCCAAGTCACACAACTTTAACTATAATAATAAAGAAATCGCAGTAAGGAACCTTAGACTTGGCACGACTTTGTCTAGATTTCATTACTTTTTAGAGATAAACAAGCAGCTCCATCGAGACTTGGCTAGTTTTTTACAGAATGTTTTTGGTGGGATTTCACTTCTTTTTGTAGAAACGTGGGCATATTGATTTATTTTATTAGATTTTCTTATTCGACGCATTTTTTTTCTTTTTTAGGAGTAGTTTTTTATTATTACAAATCTTTCTTTTCTTTTTTCCGGTTCTGATTCTTGTACAGTAGCAACAGTTTTTCGTATTGCCCATTCGCGTTCATTATTTATTCTATTTAGACGGTTTAGACGGTTTAAAATCTGAAAGATCGGCGCGGTATTTACGCCTAAGCCGGTTGTATTCGGTGATCGCTGAAGCTTGAGCTTTTATACTCTTGAAGTCAACATTTATGAGGTGCATTCCACGAAGATTGATTACTCGTGAAAGCGCCACGTAGGCTTGGCCACAAGTGAATATGGAGGCGCCAATGTCCA